ATGCTAAGGTGTGAGTGTTCAATGGAGACTAATGGTTTTGAATGCCTCTCCTTTTAGCTGTCCCATTGGGGAAGACAGATCATGGTACTGATATTCAGCAGGTAAAGGCTCAAATCATTCTGAAAAATTGGCCCTTAAGGGATACCTTGGTTGTTCATGCAAAATCACTAATTGCTTCTGAAAATTTAGCTCAGAGTCTATTCATTATATGTCATTACTTACGTCAGTGACATTGCAGATATTATTCCGTGACTGACTGGCTGAATTTCTGCAAAATGGAGACCTGATGCCCACTAACGAGTGAAAAAGAAAGCTGACTTCTTTGCAGATGGCAATAGGTATTCATATAGACAACTGTCTCCCTTCTGACACTGTGGTCTGAACTGAAATGCCTACCAAATAGAGATATTTCCTAAAATGCCTGTCATCTTCTGTCCTTTTTTTCCCCCCTCTACTTTGTCTTGAAGTTTCTAAGTACTGTACAGTAGATGCTGGGCTTTGACCTCAGCTGGGACTCATAGTTCTTATTATGTTATGTTCCCATTAGTTAGGCTGCTGTTCTTCAGGGATTAAATTCATCGTGTGACACTTAACTGTCCAGGGACCTTTTAGGACTTTCTTCATTCTAACTTGTGTGACTTCAAAACAGGGAAAAAAAAAATACTTTTAGTTAGTGTATGAGTTCTGCCTTCAGGAATGATTGTGGTTGATTTGATCACAGGAATGAGTTTTACATTTATGCCAACACTTCTGGAAGTCCATCGTCCATTGGAGGCCTTGTTAGTGTTCCTGGCCCTTGGACTCACAAGTTCCCCCTTAGTGGTGGACAGCTGGTTCTGGGACGGTACATGTACCAAGATGACAATGTAGGTTAGTAAAAAAGCAAAACAGTACAGTCTAGGGAGAACTGTGGATGGCCCACCTGGAGCTGACAATGTCTGGTGGGGAACCAGCACAGAGAGCAGAACATGGACAGTGTCCTCTGTGACTTCTGTAACTCTGCCCTGAACTGTAACATACAGTGTCACTGGAATTACACCAGGGAGGAATGTGTCCCATATAAGGACTATTGAAGTCTCTAGCCAATTTTTAGCCACTTGTACTATTATTTAGTTGGGCTATTGATCTATTAAGTCTGATAGCTATATCTAGCTGTGACGGACACATGCATTTATATAGGTAGACAAGATAATGTAATGAAAACCGTAATGCCAGAAGAGAGTGGTAAAATAATGTAGGGAAAGGCAAGGGGGAGGAAGAGGTGATTTTAGTTCTTTGTCTTCCAATAATCACTGCACAGCTTGACATCTGATTTCTTTTACCCTAATCTCAGCATGCATCTCAAAAATGCTACTGGCCATCAGATTATCCCAGCAGATCATTAAATTTTCTTATCCTCCGGACTTATGTATGCTGTGGAACTATCCAAGGATAATGAGCAGCCTGCTGCTGCACTCACCTGGTTAGGGTCAATGTGTTTTGTGAAAGCTCCCCACATATTCTCTTTAATGAATGAGTCCTTTCTTTTTATAGAAGACTCTAAGGGGGAAAAAATAGAAAAAGAAAAAAAAAAAAAAGCTTTATTTTATTTTATTTTATTTTATTTTATTTTATTTTATTTTATTTTATTTTATTTTATTTTATTTTTAATGAGAAACATGATATTCTTCAGACAAATTCCTTGTCAGCAGAAAACAGCAATAGGTGATCCAAAAGCCTTGTACGATAGTTTGTGGGAGTATGTGCTCTCCAAAATTCATATACACAATGTTGTTCTCCTTTCTTCCCTGGATGTTGTATGTGTTGGGTCAGAAATAAAGGTTCATCTGTAATTACCCAAACAGCTGGACTGATAAAATACAAGGGTTAAACTGTTACTGCTTCTAGTGGCAATCGCAACATGGGCTATAGCAGTACTAATGCTGTTTACTGACTCTAGGAAAGAAAACAAGTTTATCTGATCACAGATAAACTTACCTCCTCAGATAAACATATAAATAAAAAAGCTTTCTCCTTCAAAAATGCATACCCTTATTTCCCTTGTGGCAGACAGCTTTTTCCAGACCTTCTTATGTTTTCATGTCCTTCTGTTGCTCTCCTATTCGTATTCTCTCATCTAATTCCCACAAATGGTTCCTTCTGCTCAAAAAAACAAAGCTCCAGACTCACAGAACAAACAGAGCACTGGGGCTGAAAACTCAAGTGCTAAATTTCACCAATTTGTTGCTTGCACTGTAAAGCCACTAAGATTGTGACAGATCAGCCAGTGGTCTAATGTTCCTCTCCACATCATGCCAGTCATATACTGCTTGTGGCCTGAGCTGTATTAATATGGGCACCCAGCTGCCATTGGTGAGGAGGAGAACTTGATGCCCACATTAGGTTTTCTCACCCAGAACTAATGCAGTCCTTTCTGTACAGTCCCAGCTGACCTATCATCATCTACATTTCCTTTGAAATTATAAAGGTGCTCATATGATCACCATGACTGCAGACAGAACATGTGCCAGACATTAGGGTATTTCTCCCCCTTCCATCTGTACAAAATGAAGTAGTGTTCACTTTGTTTTACAAACAGGGACTGAACATGGAGTGACTGGCAAAAGGCTATAAATGAAATGTGTCAAAGTGGCTGGAATTGAAAGGGAAAATCTCAGGGTCTTTGCTGTCAAGGTCAGCTTTGCTTTCCTCAAGGAGGAGGAACTGAGTGCCACAGTAGAGGTGAAAGTTAGAAAGGAGTCAGCACTATATGCTTAACAAGGCCTTCGTTCATTGCCAGGGATGGGCTTGCATTGCCTTCAATGGCAGTGATCACAATTATTTTGAACAAAGTCCAGATACAGTAAGACTAAATCAACAACTGAGTTTTCCCCAAACACAGGGTACACAGATATGCAGCTGAGGATGAGACACACTTTTTGTCTGAGCAGTTTTAATAGTGATTAATAAATTTACTCTAATAAAAATCTTGCTGGCAAAGAGCCCTTAAACATGACATTATTTACATAATTTCCTGCAAAGAACAGCTGCGTAGCCCTCCACTCTGGTCATAACTTCTCTGTTGTAGTGCTCCTGCACCCAAACATTCACAAATCTTAATGCACCTGCCTGGCATTTATGATACGAAGCTTATGGAAGAGGTGTGCCTCAAGGAAATGAGCACCTCATATGTGCAACGTGAAAGTCGATGGTGCGACCTGGGTCCAGATCCTGCAGTCAGATCCATACTGGTAATCACTGGGATGCATTATAGGATTGGGCTCATATTTACTGATAGCTTTTAATTAGTCTGCATAGCTCATTTCCACATCTGCTTTCCTATAAACAAACCACTAATTAGTTCAGTGAGTCAGTTAAAAGTGTACTGTTGTGCCAGATAGTTTAAAGAGACCCAGAAAATATTTGAAACACAGTCCATTTAATTTTAATTATTTTTTTAAAAGGAAGGCATGAAAAAAAAATAAAAAATCTCCTTCCTCTGAATTCCTCTGCTGATTTCAGGATAAGTATTTGTGAAGTTGTGACTGTGTCAAAGACTTGTATGTCTCCAGAGAAAATCCACTCTGGCTTTAAGCTTTCTGATATATTCTACTGCTTTGGTTTACTCAAGTGGTAGCTCTGAAAGTGCTGCTAGTACTTCTAAAGCCTGACTACTCACCTGAAAAACTCAAGTTAATAACATAATTTTCTCAATACCCAGGCCTCCTGACCTAATGCAATAAAGCAATCTTGGTTTCTGGGCCAGATTCTTGTTTATGATCTGTGCAACTTATGGAGATGAGGCATTTGTTAACTAGGACAGGAAGGCGAGACTCTCTCTCCCCATACACCACGGGAAATGAGCAGAGCTCCCTAGTTCCTTCTAATATGGGCTTTCTCAGAGAAGATGGTGGCTGCATCCTTGCACAAACATCTCCTGGGTGGTGAGCTGAACTCCTTTGGGGCCTTTGGATGGGAAAGCACCTTATGTAAATGTGTTATCCTTGGTCTGACTCCCACCACAAGTTTCTGAAATCTGAAGTTAGCAAAGAACAGAGTATCTGTGGCAGGTCTTTGCATGATCAAAGATAAAACTTAGGTGTGTGTGGATGTATTTAAAGCCAAAAATGAAAGACTTAGACCTCATTAGGCTTTGAGGTTCCTCCTAAGTCTTGGTTTTATGTGACTAAATCTTTACTGACTCTGACTGAAAGCTTTAAGACAAGGCAGCTATCCTTCCTATTTAACCTTGTGCCACTTGTAGCAACAGACGGTGAAATAATTAGGTCATTTTTTAAGTGTGGGCTTTTGCTTTCCAAGCCAACTACTCCTTTAGTGCTAAAAGTCTTGCTTCGGGTGTCCCTCTGACACCTGCTCTCTTTGATATAGCATCTAATCACTAAGCACAATGTATTTCCTCCATACCCCTTACTTTCATATGAAGCTTGTAGCATTCTGGCAATTTAAACCTCCACTCTCCATGGGTGAGTCAGGATGGCTTTGGTGAACTGTCCATTGCTTCTGATTATTTCTCACCATGGTAAGGGACTGTGGCTGAGGACTAGCAACTTTACCCCATGAAGACTTTAATGGTCCAAATACACTCTCCGTGCAGATTAAAGTGGAATCACTAATGCAATTTTGACCTGACTTTGATGCAGCAGCGTATTGATGTGGGGTGACACCGCAGCAAGGCAACAAGGTTAGATCTCTGCAGTGATTAAAGCGGAGTTCCTGAGAGGATGTTTACATCCTGTGTTTGCAAGCGTGCAGGGAGGCAACTGGAAACAGCATAGGATGCCTGCTCTGGGTGTGCTCCAGCTGCCTCTACACAGACCGCAAGGGAAAACGAGATGTTTTCTAACTCTTCGTGCCTTTACCCTCTAACCCGTTGTCCCTCTGGAAGATAATCACAGTCTTCTCAGCTGCTGCGTATTCAGTAGTCAGACAGTCAATCAATCAATCAGTCAATCAATCACCATTAAAGCCGGTTTTGCCAGGTGTCACCCTCCCCAGCTGGGAGGGCAGCTGCACCTTTGGGATGTGGGTCTGGGCCTGGCCCCAGCCCTGGGGGTACCCAAAGGGAGCCCCCCCCTGCCAGGGGAGTGCATCGCGTGTCCACCCCGTGCCCTGGGGTGAGGCTGTGCCGGCACTGCGTACCGCGAGATGCTCGTAGACGCTTTATGTATGGATATATTACATATTTATAAGCAAAGGAACAACTGAGATGAGGGCGCTTTAAAATGTTCCAGCCACCGCGGTACCCGGGGAGAGAGAGATTTTTTTTTATTATTATTTTTTTTCCTCCCTTCTAGGCATCTGATTTACTCCGTGACTCTGATGCTTATCAACAAAGCGTGAAGATTGCAATAAGGATCCTCCCTGGAAGGCGAGGAGGAGTGACTTCAGGGGGCTGGGAGGAGGTGGAGTGCAGCGCGGCTCTCGCCTATAAGGAGGTGCCCAGCGCCCGGCTGCTGCTTCCAGCCGCAGCTCGCAAGGTGAATTTCCGCGGTGCGGGCTCTGCCGCCGGCATTTGGAGCATCTCCTCCTCCGGGGGCCGCGGAGGAAGGTCCCTCGGCTTCCCCCGCTCCGGCTGCCCCTTTACCCGGAGTGCCTGGATGCCCGATGGAGTAGATGAGAGGAAGAAGAGGGAGCGCACAGAGGCTGAGGGGCGCTCGGAAACCGGGTCCAGTGTAGACGAGCGGGTGGCTGACTTCCCCCTGTGGGGCTGACCATGGATTCCCCGGCCCTCGGGGGTTTCACGCTGCTGCTCGTCAGTTTTTGGCACCTGGGATTAACCGCAACCAACTGTGAGTAGCGGGAGCGCAGGAGTTGCCTGGTGTCGGGGTAAATGGGGGAGGAGGGGGGGGGAGGCGGGAAAGGATGAAAGGGGGGAAAAACTCCCTGCAAACCGAGGGTATTGCAACGCGACCTCTAAGAAAGTTAGCCCAGCTCCGCTTTGCTAATCGAGCTGAGAAACGCAAAGTTGCGGCCAGATGGAGGGATTGCTCGCCACCGTCCTGCCGCTGTGGACGTGGATGCGAACGCGAGCCGCTAGAACCTGCAGCGAGCTTCTCGCTCGCTTTCCATCCTTTCGCCGGCCGCGTTTATTTTTTATTTTTATTTTATTTTATTGCTTTTGCGGCCGGGGCTGCGCGCCTTCGCTGCCATCGCGGCGGAGCCGCTCGCCGAGCTCCGCACGGGTCGGGGACTGCCGGCACCTCGCGGAGTATCCCCGGCGGAGCCCCCTCCCCGGTTGCCGTCGGTCCCCGCAGTGTCCCCTCTCCCTTCACCATCCCGGGGGGCTGCGACCCCCTCCTCGCTCCCTCTCCCTTTCGGTCCCTTCCTAAGTTTCCCACGCCCCAAGGGCGGTGCCGGCGGCTCTGGCCCGCAGCAGGACCCCTTCCCTTCCTCCCCCATTTTCCTCCCCCCGGTTCGGGGCTTTGCAGCGCTGTCGCCGGCATCCCCGGGGGCGTTCCGCCGCCTGCCCCCTCCGTGAGACCGCCGGGCTGGGGGGGATGCTGCGGCGGGGGCCGGGGCGGCCGGGCCCGTCGGGGGCCGCGGGGCGGGCGGGGGTGGCAGCGGGGGGCGAGGAGGCCGCCAGAGGGCGCCGTAGCCCCACCGACGGCCCGGCCCGGCACAGCACGGCCCGGCCCGGCACGGCGGCAGCCCGGTGCCCGCGGACAGCGCTCCGTGCCCCTGGCTGGATGCTGCTGCCAAACCCGCGGGGGAGCCTTGCTTCAGTTCTCTTTTCTTTCTTTCTTTTTTTTTTTTATTTTCACTCAATTAAATTATGGTTAATATGTTTTAATAACGTTCGCGGATGCTAAATGGCAGGAGATTTAAGGCAGAGGCTTGCTGTTACTGATGCAGTAATAAAGTTAATTCCTAACACTTAAAAAGAAACTCTGCATTAATGAGTTTTACTATTTCACGGGTGACAGTTTAATTTCCCCGTGCCAATAAACATTTCCATTGAATACACACTGCTTCCTAAATATTTAGGAGTCAATCTTTTTAAAGTGTAATGATCAATGGTTTTATTATACTGTACAGATTTTACTTATTCATTGCTCAATGAATTAGCATAGAATCAGCTGTAAGTGCTTTCCCAGGAGCTGAGTGAAGGAGCCTGTGAATCTGTAATACCTACAAGTTCCCTGGAAACCTCGTTAGGCTCGGATGTGAGGATATCTGTGTGCATGGACCTCAGTAATTGCATCCAGTATGAGAATTTGTCACCTTCTTAAGTAACTCTTCTCAATGTGCTGCAGCTCAGGAAAGCTGAAACTGAGCTCACGGATGCTTGGTCCTACCGCAGATGGGGCTAAGAAATCTTATAAACTGGTTAAAATGTTGAATTATGTCTGCCTAGAAGTAGAAATATCATGAAAATTTAGTTGAACTAAAAAATTCTTGATTTTAAGGATTGCTGAACTCCTGAATACCCGGTAAACTTTCCAAAAAGAGATGTTCCCAAATCCCATAAATGGGAACCTTCAGCACAGGCCATTGTCAGGAGCTGAGGTCCTTTTATTTGTGCAATCAAAGTGCAAATGGAAAAGTGTTCCTTCCGTGCTTTTCTTGATTTGGGTGGTTTGGCCAAAAGACTTGCATTCGGATGCTTACATTGGTGTATCTGCAATGGCTGTAACTGCCTCATTTCTGACAAGTCCTGCAAACAAGAACAGAATGGGGGATTTTTATTCTTTTTTATATACTGGAAAAGGAGTATGCTTCTGGGAGGAAGAGAGCAAGCTCTTCAGTTTTCTTCCAAAAATCTGACTTGGCATTAGTGTAGGTAACTTTTTTTTTCTTGCTCCTAAATTAGGAAATTCTTAAAAATAATAAGAGAAAACCCTGAACAAGTCAAAACCTTTCTTGCCACTGAGATATCTGATTCCAATTTCCTCTTTGGTGTAGTTTTTAATTAAACAAAGAATTACTAAAGAAATTGATTTGAAATGCAGCTACAGGCTAGGGGTCAGTAGACATCATTAGAAAGATCAGAATTTCCAAATGCTAATAAAACCTGAGGAATTCCTCCTACTTGGCTTTTTGCAATAATTTATTACATTAGGATACTAGAGTGGCAATAGGATTTCTCCCCAGGATACTAATTACTAGAAAATGACTAAATAGACACATACATCATATTGGAATGGGTTGCATATGATATCTGGTGGAACTGAAACTTCTGCATTCATCAGGTAGACAAGGAGACACAAAGCCTTGCCTGCTGTAAAACAAATTATGTGCCCTTTAGCAGCATACTCTGTGATCTGGAAGCATTAGTAGCTTTGGTAAGTCTAGATGAACATGTTTTCTTGTTTGTTTTGATTTTTTTCCTTTTTTAAGTTGGAGTGAGGTGTAAATAGTGAAAATATGAAAAGAGAAATAAAACTACATTTACCCCAACGACCCTGAAATAGCAGTGCAGGGCTAGTCTACACATGCAATAAAGAAAGGACTTCTGGCTAGTGGTCCTCAGTTTGGTGTTATGTGTCTTTGAATTTTCTTCTGTTATTATTTTACATGTTCTGCTTCCTTTTATTTATATCTTTCTTGACTAACCTTTCTACGTGGCAAGAAAGATGGGGCAGATTAAGTCACCTTCTGGAGAAGTGACACCTAGCTCCCATTGCAGAAGTTATTCTCAGTAACAATGCCATATTTCCATTCCTGAGCACAGCCTCCTCTTCCTCTCACAGAATCACTAGCATTTGTTATCTGATCTTGAGGCTTTCAAACCTTTCAATTAAACCCAGTCTTGGCTGTCAGTCGAACCTGCAGAAATTCAGTGTGGTAGAATTAGATCTATTTAATTTCTTATTGAGATATAAGGTCAACATATGGTCCACTACTCTGCAGTAGATTTAGATTTGGCTTTCCAGGAGACTGTCTTCAATAACTCTATTCAGATAAATGTAGGTTGTGCATGTGTGAGTATATCTGTTAATTGCAAAACAGGGAAAAATGATTTAAAGATTTTTTTTTTTGGTGGCAGAATTTTAACTGTTTTTAGTCTTCCTTGATGGTCTTAATTGACAGTAATTGTGCAGGAGTCAGACAAGTGTACATGAAAACTTTCAGGGGAAACTCTGATTCTAAGTACTTGAGGCCATCAAGATCAGTAGGTGCATTTGGGACATGTAAGAGACCTAGTAGGTCAGCATTGATAAAGGCAAGAGGTCTGTTAAACAATAACCTTTATATCCATGTGGTCAGAAATGCTAAGTTTTTAAGAGATCTGGTGAAATAAGTAGACTATTGATCTTCAGATTGTAGTCTGAGGCTTATTCACTTGCAGGCTGAGCAAACAGGATCAGATACACATCTCTGGTTCTTACTCCTCTGGCTTCAGTACTTAAATATTCCCTACAAGAGACTAGTATGCAGACATACTTCTTCCTTTTTAGTTATGTTATTTAGGGAGAATAGCATATCCAAATGTTAGCTTTGTCATGCCTTCTGATGCAACAATGGAATAAATGATATGAGATAATGAGATTTCCTGAGAGAAAGGCTGTGAATGAGATTCCTGCCACAGCAAAGTCCAGGGGACACACTGCTGATGAGTGCCTCTCTTGCACATCTGTCATCATCTATCATATAATCAGTTTGACTCAACCTACCACTCCTTGGCTTCGAATCAGTCTTAAAGATGGTCTTTCCACGGACTGCAATGGTCTTTGGATTCTGCATCCACTAGGCAGATGGCATTGCCAGCCCACAGGAATCTATCTGGGGTTATTATCGTCTCAGTACCAAATACATTGTCTGCTTAGATGTTTTTTCCTTTTTTTTTTTTTCTCTTAATGTCATGTAAATGAAGCAGGATTTTTTTTGTGTGTAAATTAACAGCAAGAACAAATTGTTTTCAAATGTGCTTAGTACATTTGTACGAAGTATAGACTTCAAGTGGAAAATATGGTGATGCTTCACATGTGTGAAGCGCTCTCAGCATACATACAAGCTTCTGCCAGCTACCCACTGAATGTAGGGCTGATGAATGTTTTTTTAATCATTGTAATTATTCTTTTGCCAATGGTAAACTGAGTCAGTGTATCATAAGTAAGCGTGGAGATAAACATATAATCAATGTGAGAATCGATGTAACTGAAATAAGTCCTTTGGGGTCAATTGGATTGGTCCTTTATGGTGCGATCATGTCCTGTGATCTTCTGTTGGATCATATTTATATTTGCCTAGCTATATATAATCATTTCTAAATCCACAGATTATTCCTGACTTCCTCTTCCCCTCTCTCCCCTATCTCTGCTGCTATTTGAAGCAAATGGAGTCTGGATGGCTGAATTCTGAAGTGAATAAGTTTATGAATGCAGTAGGAGTGTGGGATGGGTTTTATTTATTTTTAGCCCCCAAAATGCATTTTTGGGTAGATTTGACAGATTTCAGCTTGCTTGTCAAATTACGTTCTTGTCCCCCAGCACCCTGCTCAGGAAAAGATGAGAATGGGTAAAACACAGACCTGCATCTGCACCCCCCAGGGTCACACGCAACAGAAGCTCTCTAAATGTGTTGGCTTTTCCTTAGCTTACCAGCCTCCTGTGTCCTACCTACCAAGCATCTGAGGGTGTGAGCTGTCTGTGCTGCACACTGGGTAACCTGGCATGCTTTTGTAAAACAAAGGATTTCTGCCGGACTTTGCCACTGCTAGAACTCGGGAAAGTTATTCTGGCCCTGTGGCATTCACTTTTTTTTTTTTTTAAGACTACTGCTGTCTTACTGATATGAGGGCCACGTGCATCACGTCTGTGGGTTGGGGTTCTTACTGGACGCATCTCTT